CACTTCCTACTCAGAGTTCAGGGAATCGCAACTCTATTCTCAGATAACCTGAGGAAATTTTGAAGAAAAACCAAGATGTCTACTGAGCACCTATTATATACTAAGTGCTATAGAGACCTCAGCAGAGGGGCTTCTTTCGTACCTACAAAAATGAGATGAGGAATGAGTGCCAGATCACAGGGGAAAACACTGCCGAGGTTAGGTCTTTGTCACCTTTTTGCCCCTGGTGTCCCAGTATTTTGTACAATGAGATAGAAGGACTTTCTCCCACGGAGAAAGCAAAGGGAGATTTATTCCTTGAGGGACTCCTCCTTCAACAAAATAGAAACAAACAGCCTAGAGCCTTCCTCTGCAAGGTGGGAAGGAGGAGTTCAAGCAAAGGAAGAACGCTGCCGTCTGCTGTGGGCTCCTGGTCCAAAAGAGTTCAGAGAATGAGTCCTGAATTAGGAGCCAGGTTCCCACCCTTTGATTTGTAAAGTAAGGACAAGGGGTCATTTGCTCATCTCCCAGGGTCATTTCAATGACAAATGCACAAGAAGGAAAAGACCCCAAAAGCACTGAAACCGCCACTCTACCACTCCCACTGGCAACTAGAGAAAAGGGGTCCAAAGGCAGTCTTGAGGGGTTGGGCAGCCTCCCTCTAGCTAGACAGCGTGCAGGGAGCTTGGAGCCCCCAGACCCCAAAGTTGAGCAAGGCAGGCACCCCCTCAGTGAGAGGACTCGTGATTACAGTCTGTTTCAGGGAAGATCAATATGGCAGGAAAAGTCAGATGGATACCAGGGCACAGAACTCCGGCAAAAAAGAAAAAAAAAGTCACAGTTCAACTCAGATGCCACACAAATAGGCACTTCCCTAGTCTAAGGACCTTTGACCCCTTCTACTTTGCAAGTGGTCACACATTCCCCTACCAAGACAGGCTCAACTCCTTGGCAGAGTCTTTTGTAACCTCATCGCCTGGTAGCTCCCTCTGGCCACCTGTACCTTGCACCTTCACCGTGGTCACAGAACTTCTGTGTGCCTCAAGATCTTCCAGCCGAGCCCCTTATCCTTTAGATGAGAAGATCCACAGCGGGGAGGGGAGGGGAGTGACAAATGGGGATTTTCCATTTCCCACCTCAGCTCTGTGTTTATGGCACCCCATGGCTAGGGTAAAAAGTTCACAGGTTGTATCTCCCTTCTGTGTCAATGAATCTTTCCTCTGGGATTGCTAGTTATGCATTATGTATTATTATTACACACATCAAATCATTAGTTGTGCAAATAGCTGGCAATTCAAAACAGGACTGTGGACAATAAGGGTTCGGCGATATGATTATACAACCCGAAATGGGGCACTTTGGACTCTGGTGGGGCCAGGTTTGTAGTCTTAGCCTGTTTAGATAATAACGCAGAAAGAAGCAATAGTAATTAAAGACACAGAGTACATTAGAAAAGGAGCACTCTTCATTTCTTGAGTCTGACAGAAAAGAGTCCCGGGCTGGAAGGGAAGCAGCGGTAGCAGCTTTACCACTAACGTGGGACTGTATGACTGGATACATCAGCTTCCCTTCTCTGGGCCTCTGTTTCCTCATCTGTAACTTGAAAAGTTTGCATGAGAACCCAAAGGGCTCTTCCAGTTCCAAGATTCAAAAAGAAACTTACAGGAAAGGTTGTTCAGTTTACAGAAAAAAAGGTGACTGTATCGTGTTGGCACAACACTGCCTCAAAATCAAAATGGCTCAAGTCCACTTTCAAAACATCAGTGCTCACCAACAGTGGGTGAAAAGGCTGCCTGACCCAGCTTCTCAGAGCGTCAGTGCCTCAAATCCAACGCATGGCAGTCGCTCTGGGGCCCCTGGTTCTAAGCTGGCTTTGTTATTTGTGGCTGACACTGGAAAGCCTCTGCACAAACAAGATGGCAACTGATGAGCCAGTCAGTCCTCACTGCCTCCCCAGCCTCTCTGAACCACCCTCGACATTTGGCCGGGAAGCAGGGGGCTTGGTGGAGGTGGGTGACCTCTTGAAGTCCTGGGCCAGGCCTGTGATCCTGTAATCTTTGCTTTACCGCAATTAGGGAGGGAGGCAGAAGAGTAGGAGGAGAAACCATTTATTACTTCTCTGGGATTTTGACAGCTTGGAAAAAGAGAGAGACAGAGAAACAGCCAGAGAAGGAGCCAGCCACAGTGAGTTTAACCTCTCAGTAAAATAAAAATGGGCTGGACGCACCTCATCAGCTGCCCTCTGTCAATACCCGGGCCCATCTGGCAGGACTCGAGGTTCCCAGCTAATTGGCATTTCCCATAGAGCCAGCAAAGGAGAGTTTTTAAAAAAATATGTGGTGGTGATGGCGGAGTGCGTGTGAGCGTATGCGCACGCAGGCTGAGGACTGCCACACTTCCCAAGGTGCTAGCTCTGTACATCATCTATTATATAAAAGTACAGACAGTCCCCACCCCCACCCCAGCTTAAAGATGAAGAATCCAGCCTGTTTGTTCCAGGCAGATGTAATCACACGAACAGTCAAGTCTAGAGGGCAGGACACTGCATGAATAATTCAAGCACTCCAGTCACTTGATTGTGTGTGCAGATAAAACACCAGTCAACCGCTAAACAGGTCAGCTGATAAACTTGTTTGCTCAGGCCTAACCACCATTCGCCAAATGCACCCAAGACCCACACTACAATTAGTGGCAGGGCTTTCTTCTCCAGAACCCTTGCAAACCTAGGGAGTGGCCAACTCCATTAGGTTAGGGTTGCATTTCATGGCACAGGTTTCTTCACCTCCTTGCCTCTTTGTTCCTCCACAGCCACAGGGTGATTTCACCCAACTCAGAGACTGCCATAAGCTTGAGAAGCCACTGCATTCAGAGCACACATGTTCAGGCTGGGAACTCAGGCTAGAGGGCAAAGGTGAGTGGCAAGCAAGGTAAAGTGCCCAGTGGGAAAGCCAGAGGGCTGGATTTGAGTCCCAGCTCTGACTTCCTGGCCTCCCTGAAGTCTCAGTTTCCTCACCTATAAAAAGGGGGCAAAGAATCCCTCTTTCCACCACCGGCAGTTGAGAGGATTAAATGAGACAACGTAGCCAAACCCCAGGCATTCTCCCCTTAAGAACCTTGTTTGGGGAATGGCCAGAAATCCCAGATGTACACAGCTGCTCTTTATATAAACCCCACCATCAAATGCGTTAAGATATTTAACTCTTCCTGCGTTCACAGCATCCCCAGGACTCACAGAACAGATCTGCTGCGAGCCAAGGTGGATTTCTTAGTCCCAAAGCACCATCCATTCACAGACATGCGGAACACCACCCATGCAGACCTCAACATGCAACGAGACATTACACCTTAATTACCAAGCTCTTACAATAACTGCTGCTATAAATTTTAAACCTGGGTGCAATTACCTTCTTTAAACACACCCAAGATACTAAACGTTGAGAAAAAAAAAAGAGGGGGGTAGACAAAGGGAGGAAGTGGCACCCTGCATACACCCCAAGGTCCTTGAAACACCTGGGACCCCAGTTCCATTTCAAGCATTCTTCCGGGACCTGGCCCGTTCCAGTCGCACAACCTATCTCCATTCTATTTTCCCGAGGAGAAATATCTTTACGTATAAAGCCCTGTCTGTTTATTATTTCTGTGTGTCAAGAAGTAAAAACATGGTAGCCTTCATATGCCTTCCTAAGGGACTAACTAATCCCTCAGGAAGCCACAAGTTGGCTTCCCACACATTGCTCAATAAACTCAGGCCCCTTTCTGGCTTCCCTTCACCCAACACTGGGGCTCCCTCCAGGAGGGGAAAGGAAACTACAGATCCCAGAGGCTCTACAGGAAGCCACTCAAGTGGGTAGGAATCTGCCCACTTTCCAGGGTCACCTGCCCTTCTCACCTGCCCTGGGTCCTGCCTCCTTAAAGAGCAAAATTGAAACCTTGTAAACGACTGTTAATTTACAGCAAAAAATCCATTCAAGTCACGGTCACCAAAGGCTAGAATGAGTCAACAGTCTTCTGAGATTTCATGAACACCAATTGTTAAAAAGAACAACCGGCCTGCCTGCTCCATTTATACGTGCCAAGTCAACTCTAATCGTTGGCCAAGCCAAATTATAGGCAGCCTTTCCTCAGAACACAAATACACAAACAGGCCTCTCCCACAGCCCAGCCTAGCACCGGGACTAGTTACTGATATGCACTGAGATAAAGGGTGTTTGTATTTGCTCGGTTTGAGGTATACTGTTATTAGAAGAGTGACAATACCAGGTAGTTTACATATCCATCAAACGACACCACACTAGCTAAACTGGTTTGACTTCAGGATTTCAAAGCTGAGCTCAACCCCCAGCCATCTCAAAAGTCCTGGCTAGGCTGCCCCTGGGCAAGTTACTTCACCCAGGAGCTTCAGCTTCCTTCTCTGTAAAATGGGAATTCGGCTGCCTTCAAATCAAGACAGAGATGAAAAAACCACCTTGTCAATGCAAGGCATTAAAGTTGTATTTCATTCTGGCTTTATATTTTTAAGCAGTTAGCAGCTTCATTCCCTTAAATTTCGACAGCTCAGCCTGGCTTTTAAGGCTCTTGAAGTTTAATCTTATCAACGCAGAACATCACATTTTTGCAAAAAGAAAAAAAAGAGAGAGAGAAAGAAAAAAAAATCCTCCTGTATTTCCTCTTGAGAATTTTACATTAAAACAGATAAAAGCAGCCAGCCACCTCTGGGCTTTCAGGAGTTTGTAAAGCAGATCCTGGAGGTACAACTTTCCCTTTGGTCCTTTATCCTCCACCAGGATCCAAGACCAGGACTAATTTCACAAGCTCGAATGCTAAAAGCTCAACGTGTCTAAAAAAAAAATCAGCAAAGCCTCAGACCTTGCATTTCAAGGACTTGATCCATTCACTCTTCAAGGAGAAGGGGGAGGAATAGAAGAACCAGGCTCATTTTCAAACAAGAGAGAACATAAGACGTCCACATATGTAAGTTTTTAAAAAATGAAATATATTTTTCAAAAGAGAAAAGCACTTACCTGCTTGTGCATTTCAATGTTCAAGCCATAGGACATCTCATAGTACTAAAAGTAAAAAGAATGGCTATTAACAGACAACACAGAAATCTGATCATTTTTGAAAATCAGTTTTTTCTTGGAAAGGTTTTGCCCAAGTCATACTTTTACAATACATTTGCTAAAGAAGTTTAAATCAAACCCCAAAGCCAGCTTACAGAGCGGTTTAAGAGCTGACAAGGGCGAGTGTTCCTCTCATCTCAACAGAACGTTATATATGTGGTAGTAAGGGGAGCTGGGTCCTCCCTCCCACAAGCACCACATGTGCCCTATATCCTGTTTATACAAGGTTCAGGTTCAACAGGGAATCGTGTGTACACTGGGACCCTCTTGTCCTCTGAGAGTTATTTAGCACTGTGTCGAAGGCCTCTTATGTGGAAAGCAGTGCAGGCAGCCGTGCCCTCTCACAAATGAAGATTAAAACTTGCTGAAACGGACACTGGGCAAAAGGAAGACAGTCTGCCTACTGCCCCAGCGTGGACAAGATACCCAGCTGGGGGATCCCTGAGGAGGGGAGTGAAAGCAGAGGGCTTTATAAGGCCTCTCCACTCCTCACAACATCCTGGGGAAGGAGGGCTTCTGTCCCCCTCTGGCTAGATCCCAGCTGCAAAGCAGAAAAGTTTCTAAACACTCCCAGGAGGTCACTAAGAGAGATTTTTAGCAATCCTAATTTCACATGGGCTGGTCCAACCCGATCTTACTAGCCAAGATAGGGCAATGGCAATCGGCCCCTGGGCAACTTTCAAAACACAAATTAAAGGCACACAAAGATAGTACAGAAGTCGCCGGCCTGGAATCGGGGTTTCTCTTTCTGTCCCTCCCCTCACTCACCCTCCTCTAAGTGGCCCCGGCAATGGAAGCTGGGGAAGGGGAGGGCAAGACCAGATTATGCCCTCTACTAAGGCCGCCCTGCGGCTGGGCGGTGGTGGGGACCTGGCGCTCATCTCCCCAGATACACGCCGCGCCCCCGGCCGGGGTCGGGGTCGGCGTCCCCACTGCCCCCCAGGCCCACTGCCGCATCTTACCATCACATAATGGCGCTGCATCTCCGTCTTCTCGTTTGCCAGCTTGTCGTACTCCACTTTGAGGCTGCGAGGGCAGAAAAAGCCGGCTCAGGCCTGGCGCCTGGGCAGCCTCCTCTGAGGCCCCGACCCAAGGGCCTCGGGAGCCACTTTTCCACTTCCCTGACACCCTCCGGGGGCGCCCTCTTATCCCACAGCCAGGGGACGCGGGGGGATTTGGGTCCCCGCCGTGGGGAGGGGGATGTGAAACAATTCCAAACTTCCCGCGGCCCAGTCAGAGGACTTATCACGGCCGCAGGGGAGCAGGACCCTGACGCTGGCTCCCCACACCCAGAACCCGGAGTGAATCCGCTCGCCGCGACCTAGACCCTCATTCGGGGATCCCACAGGCGGCGCTGGGAGCCGGGCGGCTGCGGGCAATAAAGGGTTAAGGCGGCGCGCTCGGAAAGGGGAAACAAAAGGCGGAGGCCCGGGCTGCCCCGCCGCCCCTGGGTCAGGAGCCCCCTCCGTCCCCGCGGGGGATGGCAGGAGCCGCGCAGGGGCCGCCCCTCCCCGCCAGCCCCGGGGCGGCCCCCACCGGCCTTACCTGTGATACTGAGCTTGCAGGAACTGGAATTCGTCTTTGATCCTGTCACAAGACTCAGCCACCGTGAATTTAAATCCCGGCTGCCCGGGTTGATGGGGAGCCTGGAGCCCGCGAAGACAAGACAGGGGAGGGGGCGGGGGCATGAGACGGCTCTCAGAGCGGCCGCGGCCCCGGCCCCTCCCCGACGGCGCCCAACCAGAGAGGCCACCCTCAGCCCAGAACCTTCCCAGCAAGTTTCTCAGCTCTCCGACAGGGAGGAGGGGGGGCGCCCCATCTCTCCCCGTCGGCAGCGGGGCTCCCATGCCTTTCACCAAGGGCCTCCCTCTCCCCAGTAAGGCGGGGACGGGAGACAAGCCGGGTGAGTTGGGAGACTTAAGAGCTGGGCCGGGGACCGCGTGAACAGCTCCCCCTGGAACACAGGCAGCCCCCCGCGCCACTCGCGCGGAATTAACCTCCTCTCTCAACGGCGCCCCCCGGCCGCATCCCCTTTGTGTGAGAGCACACGCACAAACACACACCATAAAGGTAGCAACAAGCAAAATGGAGGTGCCAGATAAACTGCCTCGTTTACCCTGCCATGATAGATGCTTAAATAAACCGAGTTGCAATTACTCACCGGATGTCTGCCCTGCGGATACATGGCAGGGAGGGGTCGTGATTCCGAGAGCGTGGAAGCGCTGAGAGCCCGGGCCGGGGAGGTGCGGGGGAGGGGGGAGCCGAGCCCGAGCGGGGGGCGGCCGGGAAACCGAGAGCTCGCCCCCGGCCCCCCCAGCTCGTTCTCGCAGCGAAATCCCAGAGTCGGGCGCCCGCCCCAAGTGGAGACAAAGAGCCGCGGAGCAGGCGGCAAAGTCGTCGGCGGACGCCGGGGCCGGGCGGCGGGCGCGGGCTTTGTGCGCCTAGGGCTCGGCGGGCAGCGGCCGGCCGCCCTCCCTGGGCTGCGTCGAGCGCGTCAGTGCCCGGGACTGCGCGGACATCGTCGGCACCCCGGCAGGTCCGGCGCGGGGTCCCGAGGCCGGGGGCCCCTCCTGGGGCGAGCTCGGGCCCCCTCTGGGTCAGTCAGCGCGTCGCGCCTGTAGGGGGGCGCGCCGGGGCAGCCCCCAGCATCCAAGACGCGCGGGTCGGATCCTAGAGGCGGCCGGGCCTGGGGCTCGCTGCGAGAAGAGGAAGGAGGCGGGCTACGAGGTGGTGGCTTGGGGCCGCAGGAGCGCCGGAGGGTGAGGGCGGGAGCCCGGCGCCGGCGCTTCGACGCCCCCCCTCGGAGAGGAGAGCCTGCTGTTCCGTCTGCTACTGACGCTGCCGCCGCCGCCGCCGCCGCTGCTGCTGCAAGCCCTTCCCAGGGCCGGGGAGGAACTCCGGGCTCAGTAGGTGCAAATCAAACGCCCTGGCATCCTAACTCCAGCGGGTACGGGAAGCCTCCGCAAAGGGTTCTCGCTGCTCCCAGCTTGAGCGCCGCGTCCCCAGCGAGGAGCGCTCGGCGCCACCGCCGCTGCCGCCTTGGAGCGCACAAGCAGGAGAGCGCTGGAAGGGAGACGCAGCCCGAGACCGGGGAGCTCTGCGGCTTCCTTCCTTTCCCTCGGCCCGGCTCTCCTCTCCGCGCCCCGACAAACCCCCAAAACACACACACCCAACACACACACGCGCGCACACACACACACCCCAAAAAAAAGTGCCCCGGACCTACGGATACCACACACAGACAGGCGAGGGGGACGAGCACGAGGTCTGAACTGCCGCGAGAGCAGTTCCAAATAGGGACTGAAAAGTAACAAAATAATGTGGCAGCTTCGTCCGGCGCTGGCCAATGGGAGCGCGGGGCCCCCACGTGGGGCTGCGGGACTCGGCCTACGACTGGGTGCCGCTGGGCGCGACGTCACAATGCCCTCTTGTGTCTAAAACTATGCATGAAAAGTAGCAATCAGGCCCTACCCGCTGGTGATTTTCGCATGGGAGTGAAAAACAGCGCTCCTCAGATCAGGAATTAACCGAAAGACATATAATAAATAGATATATATTATAGTCCTGGGCTGCTAGAGTTTTTTTCCTCCTCTTTTTTTTTCCCACGATCTACTAGCAAATAATTATTTGGCGGGAGGAGGAAAGAGGGAAGACAGAGGAATAACAACAAAAGAAAATAAGACAGGCTGTACAATCTTCAAAACCTGTGGCTGGTAGTAATGTATCAGTTTATTCTGCAGCGGCGGCGAACGATTCCTCCCTCTAATCTCATTAGGTCTGCAAAGCAGCCCAATTAGATACTATAAAACAAACAGAATCACTTTGTCACTTTAATGTTTTCACTTCAAAAGATTTAGGACTGATAAAATGGTGGCTCCTAAAGTTGCCTCCGACCTTTAAAAATTTGCTTGTAACTGAGGATGTCCCCTTTTCTTCACCCCTTCTTCTGCCCGCCTCCCCCCCATAGCCCCCAGCTCTCCTTTGTTCACTCGCCCTTCTTTTCAGAAAGCCAAATAAACATCTCCTTTGATGTGCGGCGGCTGCCTGCGAGGAGAAGTCTGAGGGACTCTGGCTTGGCGGGCAGCGCAGATGGAAGGGCCTGGCTGCCCCTGGACAACAGGCTCAGCCACGGCTGGCCCCATTCGGGGCGCCTTCCCGGTGGGGACAACTTCACCCTCGCCGTAGCCTCGCCGCTCGGGCTCCTCACTGCATCCCCAGGCTGAGGGGGTTGGAGAAGGGGTCGGGACCCTGCTCGGCCGAGACCCGGGAACTCCGAGTTCCCACCTGGTTTGCTCAGCCTGCTCCCGGCAGCGTCACGGCGTTGGCGGAAGCCTGTAGGTGTCTAGGTCGCCAGCCTGGGCACCCCGGGGGGCGCGGACGCTCCCCCACTCGCGCCTCGCCCACCCCTGCCCCGCGTCCCCCGGACTCCCCGTTTGGTCGCACAGGCCACTCGACTCCCGGGCCAGCTTGCCCGCAAACCAATGGCCTCGCCCTCCCGCGCTCGGGGTTACGGCGGGGCAGACCAGCAAGCAGGGAGTGGCCCTCGAAGCGCGCACGGCCCGGTGGGCTGCCAAGGCGGGACCCCCGGGGCCCTCCCCGGCAAGTCCGCGAGCCCGCACGCACCCCGGGGCCCGCGGCGGGCGCGCGCGAGCCGACCGCGCGCCCCTGGATCTATATTCTCCCCTCATTAGGAGCCGGAGGTTAGCTTTTGCATCTTAATGAGGAGCTGAGAGCTAGCGGGCGCTCGGAGGCCGGAGCGCGGGGAGTTACACGTGAGCACCCGTCTCAGAACTGAACCTCCCCGCGCCCGCTCCGGCCGCCAGCCCCGAACTGCGCTCCCTTCTTCATTTATTTAATCTCCTAAATAAAAACATAAATCGTGTTTCGGCGCGCACCGAAGACGGAGGAGGGAGAAGCACGGCTCGACAGATGCGAGCATCTGGCCGCAGCATTCATTAGACACAAAATGGCTCCTCTTTGGAGCTTCCTTTCCCCCTCCCCCTTCTCTGCCCTCCCCCTTACGTCACGGGTGGGCGCACCCGCTTCTTACGCGCCCCGCCCCTTTCTCGCTCCAGCCCCACGTGGGGGACGCCGACCACGCCTCCGAGCAAGGTGCGCGTCACCAATCACGGACCGCCGAAGGGGCTCTTCGTTGCTGATTGGCGGAGTTGCTGGGCCTTGTCAGTCCGCGGCCAGAGCTGTCAGTCAAAACCACGCGGGGTGGGGGAGCGCTGACAAATGCCGAGGCTTCTGAGCCTCCCGCTTGCAAATAGTGCTTGGAATGGCTGCTTAATTAGCTTTGAATGGCTTTTCCTTCCAGCTCAAACAATCTGTCACTACCATGTGGTATAAAGGAGCCATGCATAAAAAAGTAAGCAGAGGCTAAATATCAATTTGATTTTGTGTATCAAAGGAATATTTTATTTTTCTCCCTGGTAATGAAACGTATCAATTTAAATAATAAAAGGTAAAAACACACACACAAACAAAAAAAAAAAAAAAAAGAAGGAAAAGAAAAGAGGGGAAAAAAAGAAAGAAAAAGAAAACCCAAACTCCACGTTGTTGCGACTCCTGCGCACGCCTGAAACAGGTCACTTCTACAGCCCACGTTCTGGAGGAAGCCTGAAGACTCCCCGCTCCCCGCTTTAAACTTGCATTTAGTGTTTTGTTGTCGTCGTCCTCCAGAAGTCTAGAAGGAGTGGTGGAGGAGGGGTGGCCTGTAAAAGGGGACGTGGGGGCGGGGGATGGGGCGAACTTTAAAGAGAGCTCTTTGAAGCTGCCACTCAAAAAGTGGAGGGGGTTTTAAGACCCCGTAAACTGGGGGTCCTAGAGCAGGTCTCGATTTGGGAGCCGAGAGGAGAGGGGGATGAGAGCGGGTGTGCGTCTCGCTTGAATTTATTAAACACAATGCCTTTAAGATGCCAGGGACGCGGCGCCTCGCCGGGCCTCCCTCTCAGTCTCCCTCTGGACTGGCTCCGACGGCGCCCGCCCGCAGGGGGCTGAGAAGCCCCGGGGCCCCCAGGTCGGGTCTTAGAGGACTGTGTACACACAGAAAAGCACAGCAGCTCTGTCTCTGGACCGGGTGTCCCTCCTGCCCCGATGTCCACGTCCCCGGTGACCACACAAGCCAGAGCGCTCCCGCAGGGCAGACCCACGTCGAGTTCACCTGTGAGCCCCAGCGCCAGCGCCGAGCCCGGCACGCTGGAGGAGTTCGCGGCTGAGTGTCCCCGACGCGGTTTTGCAGAGCGCCGCCTCCTCCGCAGAGCTGGGCGGTAGAACCACTCTACGCAGTCAGGAAGAACAGCGCTTGAGTGCTCACTGGGTACAAGGCAGGGCACTGCTACCCAGGCAGCGCTCTCCTCTCCCTTACCTCACTCCCGAGGGAAGCGGTTTGGCTAGGGACCCCATTTTATAGAGCAAAAGAGAGAGGCTGAGAAAGCTCAGTCATTTGCCCCGAGCTGGGCAGTGGGTCAGGATTCGAATCCAGTTTAATGGTCAACCTCAGCGACCCCTTTGCTTGCGCAAGCTGGATTAGGTGAGAGTTTTTGCTGAAGAAAAGACATTCATTCATTCATTCATTCATTCATTCATTCATTCATTCCCAGCCCTTACTGAGAGCCTGGTTTTAGGAGTACAGGCCTCTCCTGCCTGTAGCTCCCACTCACTCCTCACCCAGCGTCGCTCCCCGCTCTCACCGGCTGCCTGAACCTTGAGCAGGAAGGGGGCAGGGAGGTAAGGAATCAGGCCAACATCCCTTTAAGCTTACCACCAATATCTCCCCTTCCCCCCCACCCCCCACATGCCACCCCACAAATTAGGAAAAACAAGGAGAAAAATGCATGTCTTTTATGCTGGAGAAAGAGAAAAGAAAATAAAAAACATGTATACAACACCCCGTCCAAAGGCTTGACAATTATTTTAAAGAAGGAGGGGAGTCGAGAGAAAGAGTTCAAACGTCTCTGTCTCCAGTTCTAATTGGAAACGTTTCAACTGTTTATGTTACAAGAAGTGTCAGGGTCATTTGCTACCGGAGAGCTGACTTTTCATTGGCTGCTTAATTGAGTACCTCGGAGTCCACCCCACGTGGGAGAGGAATTCCTGGCACATAAAAAAAAAAAAAAAAAAAAAAAAAAAAAAAAAAAAGTCACCCGGGTGAGAGCAGCGGCTCCCCAGCCCCCAGCCCCTCATTTGGGGTGCAAGGTGGCTGGTGAGCGACTGTCTGCCAGTCCGAGGAGCCACTTCTCTGATTCTTTTAAAATATTCGTCAAACACTTTAGCTGAGTTAATATATGTTTTACCCCCTTTCTTAGGAATTAAAGGGTATGGCTCAGGCCAGCCACCAGGCTGTGGTCACCTATTTGAGGAACTGATCACAGTGCCATGTGTGGGGTTGCAAACCTTTCCATGTCATCCCTTCCACTGGCTTTGATTTTTGGAAGCCTCTTGTTGGAACTGCTCAGAGAGGACAGAAATCTCCCTCACCATGCCCCGCTCCCTCGGTTGATTCTATAAGGCTCCTCTGATTCTTGGGCTTTGTCTTCATCACTAGAGTAATTCTGTCCCCCCTACCCCACCCCTCCACTCACCAGGCATTCCAGACCTTCCTCCACAAGCAAGGACCTCGACACAGAGCAAAAGGAAGGGAAATTTTTATTTATTTAACAAACTCTTACATAGTGCTCAAGCTGTGTGCAGTGCTATTCTAAGCACTTGACAAATATGAACACATTTAATACTCACACAAGAAATGAAGTGGGTGCCATGAGTATCACCCCCATTTTACAGATGGCGAAATGGATACACGGAGGTACAATGATGTGCCCAAGATCACGTCAGTGACATTTGGGCATCAGTGTCCCTGCCCTTAACTACTACGCCCTGCTGTATCTACAAGCTTGGCTTTCCTGAGAATGCAGGCCAGGGCTGCAAGAGGGACCACAGGAACCTGGAGGGCTCCAGAGGGTCCCAGAGGGAGCTCATCTTGCAGCCACCTCATCTCAGGGAAGGCAACAGAGGCTAGTAGAGGGAGAGAACTTTCCAGGGTCTCCCAACTCCATCTTACCATTCTCTGACTGATTCAAGTTATGTGACCTTGGGGTACTTATTTAATCTTGCTAAGCCTCCATTTCCTCATCTGTAAAGTGGAGATAACAATCCAGTACCTGAGAGAATTGTCCTGAGAATCAATGGAGATAATGCATGTGGTGTACTTAGTACAGAACCTGGCACATTAAGTGGTCGATAACAGTTAGCTGTGGTGGCCATGATGATAACACACAACTATCTGGGTGATTCAACTCCT